CCCCAAAACCCCAAAACCCCAAAACCCCAAAACCCCAAAACCCCGTCAGATTAAATTTCTGGTTTGTTTAGAAGTAAAATTAAATGAAAATTTTTATGTAAGTCATTTATCAAAATGCTTACTTATAGCCTCTTTGAATGTAAGCTAAGATTGGCTATTCTTTCCAGAGCTTACCGATAATAGATAATTGTTATTACTCAGTCTAGTTCTCAATGAAGTAATAGCTGATTCAGGTCTGAAATTTGCATTATAGAGATTTATTTGGCTCTATGCTTATTTTAAATTCTTAAGTGCAGTAACAGGTCTTTTTATTTTTATTTTAATTTCTGACTCATGAGAAGCTTTACGTGATTAGAATTCAACGTGAAGTGCATTTTAAGGACTCTTGACAGATGTTGAAGGTCTATTCTTTGGAGATAGCTGCTCATATTCCAATAGCTAAAGCTGTTTATTGTTATCATCTATGACTCTTATAAAATTTGAATGTATTTACTCTTCCTTATTCCTAGTTTTTACAATATTAAATACAGAGTTTTGGCTCATACCGGAGGTAGGTCTTTTTAACTATGAAGCTGTTCTTCCAAAAGTCTTAAGCTAGATTTCTTTTGAAAGTTATTAATCTTTGTACAATGAAGATGTATAGATTCCACATGGTATATGCTATTCTAAAGACTTAATATAGCTTTTCATTTGCTGGTTCGATGACTTATATTCATCGTTTATAGTAGGTTTTAATATAGATGTTATCTGAGCATTCTTTTAGTTATTTTATTAATCCCTTTCTTTCATCATATTATTAACTTAAATGAGCTGGACAGTTGAAGCAACAGATGATTTGGCTGAATATGAAAATGAATTCTTCCTCGAGTTGAAATGATTTTATTGGCCTGATGATTATTTGTTATTTTTTTACGCAATATCTGATAAATTTGACACACTTGGATTAGAATTAAGTTGAGGTTAAAATGACGACTCTGATTCTTTTTCATCTAGAAATGATACTTTTTCAATGACAGCCTTTTTTTAGTTTTAAGGAGATTAACTTCCTTTATGTAAGTTTCTCAATTTAAGCAAGAACTATTGAGCTTCTAGAGTGCGAAGAGATTATGATTAAGTTAAAATATTCCCTTTGTGTAAGTACTAATTATTAGTCGCCGTAATAAATCCTTTAGTCTTTCCTATTTTTCCTTCAGCTTCAAAATCTAAGTTATTTAACTATTTAAAAAGTTAATCTTACCTGTTTCTTTAATAATTCTACGAGTCCTAAATCTATTTCCAATCTGTTCATTCCCATCTTCATAAGGATCGATGACTCCACTTGAAATAGGAGGTGTCTCTTTCCAAACTTATTCCAAATTTAAATTATTTTATTTAAGTTCATTCCTGAATCCATCCTTATCCATCCATTTACTCTTATCATATTATCTCCAATTTGGATTGCAAATTTATTTTCGATCTTAGGGCTATTTGAAAGGTATTTCATATTAAAGTAATACTTACAACTGCTGAGTCCACTATGTTTGATTACTATACATTCTTTACTCTCTCGTTTTCGTTTTTTGAATTCATTCCAAAGTCAAGTTATGATGTAGATTCTTGAATTCTTACTCTTTCTCGATCTACAAACTTAACTGGACCATTTTTCCAAAGTGTTTAGTTTACTATGTAATTTTTTAGATAATCTTCTTAAGCTAATTACGCTCTTTAAGTTCCCGGAAGAAATCTAATTATTATAATAGATAGTATTCTTACGGCTTTAATCCGACGTAGCTAGGTAAAAATGGATCATAGTCTCAATGCTTATGTAAATTAGGATTGTTTGAAACATAAAGGCCATTCAATGCCAATGCTAAAATTTATTATGGACTTTCATCATTGTTTTTTCCTTAAGTTTATTGCTAATCCTCTGATGTAATGCTTTAACTCATTATATTAGAATAATGCTTTGCCCTCTAATTAGAGCTTAGACTCATGAACTCATCTCTTTATTATTCCTTCCTTGATTTAACATAAATAGTATTATTTTTCTATTTTTTTCTTTTCTAACTTTATGATTTCTGCTACTCTTCCTTTTTCAAAAGCTTTAATTTCGCTATACTAAGCATTTTATTTGTTAGCTTAATTATTTCAAGAAATATATATATTTTTCTGTAAATTTCAATCAAATTAATAATATTCAGTATCAAGGGGTTTTGGGGTTTTGGGGTTTTGGGGTTTTGGGG